CCCCCCCAACCGATTAGATCTTTCTTCCAAATGTTAATGGAGAAAATATCATTAGACCAACTCATGCAAAGTGGGAACACATGCCCTGCTGGGCTTCCTACTGGACTTCGCCTGCAGCAAACCAGCTAAAAACCAGACCATTTGGTCCTAACAACCAGTTGAAAGATTATATTGCATGCCTGGAGGGCACAAGCAGCAAAACAAATGAAACCGGCCAATATGTGAGCTGTGATAATAAAGATGCTATTTCAAACTACCTTGCAGCAACCTGCACATTCTTTGACCTGAAATAAATTGGCAATCAGCTGGCAGGGTGAGAAAGTGGATGCATCCCACACTCTCTAAATCTGGTAGAAAAATGCATAAAGTTTGCGGCCAAACGCTTTATTCAAATAAAATAGACAAGGAGATTCAATACTGTATTTCTGCTGCGTGTCAATACCTTCATAATAGTTCAGGACCAAAATATCGACAGCATATACATTTTATTACTCTCCCCAGCTCAGTGATAAGACAACTGCTGCGTTATTGACTCCATTAGATTTGTCTTTGCATATTCTCACCCTGAATATAAAAAGCTCTAATTTGATAACTATCAATACTGCAGCTGAAAAAGCTGGGTGATGTAACGGGGAATATTTGCTCTAGCTGATAAGCTACTACCACAGAGCTGAGCAAATACGACCAAATTCAGAATTTCCCCATCTTGCCGCAAACTGTGCTCCAAATATTTTTACTATACGCAATAGGTTCGGTGGCTATTGCCATAGTATGGGATCGTCCTTGCCACGGACCAGGCCACTCGTTATCCCAAGATGCCAGAAAGAGTGGTCTTAACATTACAAGGCTGTATTTAAATATCCACTTCACATCTCAATTCACCATAACAGCTCTCATAGCAGTCTGTTCCACTGCAGCCGCTGTCCACAAATTATGAGACAGATACACATCCTATAATCAACTCCTGAAGTTCACTCAAGGAACGGAAGAGCCTTCATTTTGTAACACAATCCTACACTTGAAAGAGACAACTTCTTAGGGGAAAACTGTACAAGCACAAGAAGTTAAATCAGTCAGGGAAATAATGCTTTAGATGTATGTAACATAATGTCTCCAACGCATTCCAAGCACTACACATAGTAAGCCATTCACCATCCCAGGCAGACAGGTATCAGCCTTACTGTATATTTATTGCACAAGTTACTTAAAAAAAATTAAGCCACAGTAACTTATGTGCAAAATCATTCCTTCCACATTTCACAGACAACCTCTCCAAGAGCTGAGATGGAAGGCAGATGGAGAGAACTGGCAGTGATTTACTTGAAGTCAGTTATGATTTTTCTCTGGTTTTGGGTGGGGAAAGAAACAACGTGGCTCCCGGTTCCAACAACCCAAAGGTCCGTTCTGTCTCCAACATGCTCATTTTGCTCTGAAAGACAGAGACTAATAGAGAGGAAGGGCTGGGGCAGACCATGCTCCCTGCAGTACTGAAAGCTGACGTTCTGTTCCACCATCTCCCTTTTTGCACCAGGGTGGGGGCTGAACTCTGACAAGCCACGTACATATTTCCCCTTTTACATCTATTCAGTACAATTTAACTGTAACTGCAGTCATTTTACTGCAAATAAGGAAAAATACTGAATAAAATCAGCACAATTTCCTATTAATGGCACCTGCTGGTTGATAACTCTTCACTCTGCTTTAGGCTTCACCTTAACTGAATTCTACCTAACAGACACTCAAAACAAATGTGGATTTTTTTTCCACCCCATAAAACAGAGCAGTGCCTCCCACTAAATTAATGTGCATGATGGGAATATAGAATCTCGTCAAGAATATCTTCATGGCTAGAATAAAATCAGAACGACGCATCTCTTGGAGAGCAGTGGAACCAGGTAGCATTTCATTCTTTTGAACCAAAATGGGATCATCATGAATTTTAGAAAGCTACAAGGAAGACATTAGTTACCCTAATTCATCATCAAATATTATCAGGTTTTTCTTTAATTAAATGGTCAAAGCCTAATAATGTTCGCGTCCACCTTCACTGCAAATCTTTACAGGCTTTTTTCCCCTCCCTTAAACTGCACTGCTTTAAAAAATGGTGATCTGTAAAGCTGCAATTTTGAAGAACACTAAACCTTCTGCCAAGAGATCTGCACTCTTGCCCTGGTCGTATTGCCGCTACAGACCTGTAAAGGATTATCACTGCTAACGTTCAGCAGCAGTATGACAGGGATAAGATTTTCTTCTGCCCATCGCTATTTTTCATTGAAAAAACGTTGGAGCAAAAGAATAAAGTGTTCTGTACAACAGGATCATGTTGTGTTTGAACCCCTCGGCTCTACTACAATCAAGTTTAATTACACCGAAACAGGCCATCTTCATATCTGGATGCACCACAGAAGCTTGGGGAAGACACAGGGTGGAGAGAGGGGGGCGTGAGGCTTCTCCAAGATCTGTCATTTTTGTTTCCTCAGACTCAAAGGGTGTCCCAGCCTTCAGCAGCAACACTGCTGCTTAACCCTATGTATATCACTGGAAACTTCTTTAAAGCAGTCCAAATGAGGGCAAACAAAGGCTAACGTTTCCAGCAGACTAGATCCCTTCTTCCTTTGAACAAAAGGAGGCTGCTTCTTAAAGGATTATTTTGCATTAAATAAACTTATTAAATTGTGCTGGTAATTAGAGGGACCCATTAATTAGAACAGAGGCCAGGAGGAGCTGTTGGCCATTAACAGGAGGGCTGGGATCTACCGTCAGCAGTGAGCAACAAGCAAGATGCCACTAGGTCTCTCCACAGCTCAGAGCTAACCCCATCTCTGGTGCTCACCTTCCTTGAGAAACATTAACCGCTGCAAGTGGCCATATAAATGCTGACTACGACTTCCTGCAAGCAGTACAAATAAACCTGGTCTCCTCCCTGCACTGTAGCTATTTGCAGGATTACTTTAAAGTTGTTTCCAGAAAGAGGAAATAACGAAGCCAGGGAAAAGAGAAATAATCAAGCTCCATCTAATACCAATCGGCCAGGTCACCAGGGCCAATCCTAGCAGCACTTCGTTTCAGATGAAGATTATGTTATGGGAAGTGCAAAAGGCACTCACGCATTCTGGTTTCTAATACTACGACAAATCTATTCTTCCTGGAAATGCTCTAAAAGCAGCTGAATTTGTTTTGACCAGGGCACCGTCACCCTGTCTTAAGACCACTTCCTAAGCTGACATCAATCAGCCATGCCAGCAGCTGTTTACAAAAATGGACAGGCAGAATTAGATTTTCCTGAAAGACATGCACTTCTCCTGTCACCTTAAATACCTCCTCTGGACCCAATTTTTTCAGGTGTATTAGGAACAGAAGTAATTTTCTAACAGCTACATGGGGCTAAGGAAGCAGCGAGAACTGCACTCAGCCATGACCACGCAGTATTCAGAGGTAAACAATCAAAAGATTTACCACCAGATTTGTTTCCAAGCTATCCAGAGCAGCACAATGTATCCAAACCCCCGCAGTATAAAATTTCTAGAGTATGCGTAACAATATAAATAATCACTTCTTGACAACAATGTCTCCAAACTGTGGTTCACAGACAAGCAGAAAACTGAAAAAAGTGTGGGCATGCAATCCCAACGCTCCTTGTTTGCAACTAACAGAGAACTAAGAGATCATCCAAATGGGAAATGTTTTCCTGATTTTAGTGTCCTATTAAAAGCAACCGCCATCTTCCAGATGCTTAAAGCTAAAGCTGCATTATAGACTTTTAATACTATGGCAGCAAGAGCAGGTAGCCTAAGACTGACTAAGGTGTGGATCATACCACAAAGAAATACAGAGGAAGAAGCACTCGCAGCTTCCAGAGTTCCTTTGCCAGAACTGCAGTTCTGGGCTTGCAGTTAAAGAGCAACGCAGGGTGATTATGCGGTTAGGTGGGGAACTCATCACACAATTGTCTTGCAGTACAGGGCTTACTAATGCCATTAGAAATAAAACACAAGACAACCAAAGCTGTAAGAAATGATAGAACACTTGCTCCTACCCTGACAATTCCTGTTTCCTTGTGAAATTCGAGCCCTTTAAAATACCACTGCCATCAATTCTCTTCTCCTCTAAGATCTCACAGATCAGATTTTTGGGAAGGGAGTTGGACAAATTTATAAAACCTACAGATGTATACGAACAAGCCAAGGGCAAATACAACATTGGAGCTACTTTAGACAAGGCCCAGTGTTGAACTACAAGGGTGAGCAAACACCTGTGGGTCTTTACATCAGCAGAACAACTGCCAAGACAGGAGTCAGGAGTACAGCCACTCTGGAAGACTCTTCCAGGCACGATACCTCCTCCATGGAGTTACCTATCACAACACAAGACACCAGCAGTAACACACATTTATAGCCCAGACTGCAACTGTGTGTCAACACAAACAAGCCTCAGCAAGTAATAGGGCTCACCAGTAAAAGTTTAAGTACAAAGTCTAACTTGTGCTGTCATTAAGCACTACAACCATTTCACATGTTAAAAGCTCATAAAAACCATTTTGTCAAGAGGTCAGATTTCTCAGTTCAGCCTGATGAATCAATAAAAGAAATAGGCAGGACTAATGTTATGAATGACTAGTTCCTAGAAGGCTACTTTTATTCTTTGTCACAGCCACTTATCTAAGCTATTCAGACACAGCTCAAAGTTGTTCAGCATTCTTCAATGCTGAACAGCCTGCTTGACAGCCGAGCACCTTCCCATACAGAAACCAACACATACCAGTAATACCGGGCCTCTGCCTTCTCACAGACATAGCGATGCTCCAGTCCAAGATAGAAGGCACAGGGGCTCACCCAGATAAACCCAGTCTTCCCTAAAACACCAAATCAAAGGAGCAGCAACCTCTTGCTCAAATAGAGCCAAGACCAGAAAACAAAGTGGGTTGTGGCATGTGTTCAGAAAACAGTAATGATAGCAAGCGAGGCTCCACATGAAAGAAACTTCTCCCTGTGCTCCAGCACGTTTTTTTTTCAGAATGAGAAGCAGACGTGCAGTATTTTCAGCCTTTGTATCAGACAGAAAAAAATATTTTCAAAATGAAGTGCTAGGCAGCAGCTTTGCTTATCTCCTCAGTACTCCTGAACAGATCTGTAGGGGAGAGAATCACCCTGCAGGGCTACCTGTGTCAGTAAAATACTAGAGGAAAAACAAAAAGGAAGACATAGCCGTGGTGTTTTTTTTTTTTTTTCTAACCAACTACAGGATAAAGGCAAGCTCTTTGCATCTATGCAGCAGCAGATAATACAGTTTTAAACACTTCTTGTAAGAGTGCAGATCATTAGATTTGTAAAAAGGAAAACACCTGTTCCAACATTTT